GCCCCAGCAGCAGCCTCTGTGTCTGCTTTGTTTGCTTTTCAGCATAATGGACACAGGCAGGACGGTGGCCTCCAGTCCTGCCCTGCACAGACCGCAGCATCGGCACCTCTGAACCCCGGTTCTCAGGAAAGCCCTGCCCACAGGGCAGTCGGGGTCCGCGGGCACACGCTCGTGTGCTGTGGGGACAGCTGCATGCCGTCCATTTCCATCTAAGCCATTCCACGGGCTGGGGTGGGTCCTGTCTGCGGACCTGCAGGGTTGTCCCCGGGGTTCTGGGCATGAACACGAATGACTCCCCAGAAAAGAACACCCCTTCGCCGTCCACGCGTCACACCAGGACGACCTTCCTCTGGGCCTCCTGGTCCCCAGAATGTGGAAACACGGCGGTGGGCAGAGCCGGGAGGTGCAGGCCAGGCCGGTCCTCCCTCGAGCACGTGAGCCCCCCACCCACGCCCAGAGCTCGCCTCCGCTCGGCTTCGGAGCGCCCAGGGCGGCGCCGGCAAGAAGGGGCACGGGAGCCCCGTCCAGCAGTGTCCCCGGCCGCCCATGGCTCTCCCCGCGTGCCCGGGAGGGGTGCAGGGTGCAGAACAGCACAGTCACAGCATCAAGTGTGTTGCGAGTGAAAGAGCCGAGAGGAAAATGCGCGTGCACGCACACGCACACAGGCACACAGGTCTACTTCCGGTGTGCAGCAGCTGGGGAAGGGTGAAGGGCCCAGCGGTCATTCCCGGGGTGCAGATGCTGGGTCAGCATCGGGGGTGTGCTTGGTCACCCGCACCGCACCGGGAAAACTGCAGAAATGCCACGCCCCCAGCAGCTGCTGTTCCCGCCCTGCCCCGCCCCCGCTCCCCCTCCCCCTCCCCCGGCCTGCCCCAGATGCCAGCAGGTGCCAGTGAGTGCTGGGGTGCGAGCGCGGCCACCAGCGGGCAGCGGGCCTGAACTCGGACCCCGGGACCAACCTCATTTCTTCACTTGTTTGCGAGGACTTCTCTTTGCTTTGCCTCACGTTTCCGGGTGGATTCACTGGCATTTTCTCATTGTCTGCCAAATCCACGGCACAGGGAATCTTTGACACCACCTAGGAAAAGGCAAGATATTTTCAGGAACCCAAGGAAATGCTGCCGTTCACACGAAGCCAACCGCCCGCAGGCAGTAGACGCATCCTTCCTCCGAGGAGGCCGCTGGCTGGACGCTGGTCGGTGGGAGGGCAGGGTCCGAGGGGGGATGCCAGCGGGCCTGGAGAGCTGCCTGCAATTCTGTCCGCACGGCGGACAGGAGCCGTGCTCTAGAATGGGTTCCACGCCTCTCGAGTGGGTGCGGCTGTATTTTGGATCACTGAGTTTCTTTTTTTTTTTTTTTTTAATTTTTTTTTCAACGTTTTTTATTTATTATTGGGACAGAGAGAGACAGAGCATGAACGGGGGAGGGGCAGAGAGAGAGGGAGACACAGAATCGGAAACAGGCTCCAGGCTCCGAGCCATCAGCCCAGAGCCCGACGCGGGGCTCGAACTCACGGACCGCGAGATCGTGACCTGGCTGAAGTCGGACGCTTAACCGACTGCGCCACCCAGGCGCCCCTGGATCACTGAGTTTCAAGCTAATAGGTAAGTGCTCCTGCACAACTGACCTGTGAGAAGGTAGGAAGTGTCCTGTCGTTGGGACAGCCTGTATTTATAAACTCACTGCTCTTAGATCCATGACGTCACGGATCAGCACGGATAAATGCTGAAAACCCAGGAGAAGCACTTGGGGTTGGCTTTTCCTGATAAAGCCCACCGATTCCAAGTGAGAACCTGCAAAATCCGTGGGATGCAGGTAGGGAACAGCGTTCCTGTCTGCCAGTCCCCGGCCCCAGGTGGGATGCGGCACCGCCCCCATCACAGGATGCCCGGCGGGGCGCAAACGTGTCCTCCGGTAGCGCCAGGACCCTCCCCGGCAGCCCCAAGTTCACGGATGGCGGAGAGAGGGCACATCTAGGGCAGAGCAAGATGCGATAAAGGTTCACGTGTTTCTGGAAGCTCTCTGAGAATCGCAGGCCATGTGAATTCATTTTGGAAACAATTTCCTTTCTAAGTTATGGCACTGCATAACATATGTCCAAGCAGCACCGTCAATGCTGGAATACTCCTTACGTCTAAGGGTCTGAGGACCTGATGCCAGGATTTCTGGTCACCTGGGCTCTTGGATTTCCTCATCCACCTCTCCGGAGTCGCACCTTTCATCGCCTGCACGATCCCCCTTCCTCCTCGTCTTCCCAACCCCTACCTGGGTTTGCCTTTCTAGAGCCTTCCTTCCCTCCTCCCTCCTTGGGCCACACCCAGGTGTCTGCCTGGCTCTCCTAGTGTCCTAACCAGCTGCTGCCTCCACTTTCCTGACTCCCACCTATGATATGCTCCCATGGCAGGTGGGCTTTGTAAATGTCTCCTTTGGTGTGGCCCTGTGCCCTTGAGACACCTCAGACACTCCCCAACTCTCAGTGAGCAAGCCTGAGAACCAGACTGATCTCTCCCTATGCCAGGGGGCTTTAGACCTGTGTGTGTGTGTGTGCACCTATGTGTGTGCACCTGTGCCCGTGTATACCTGAGTGCATCTGTGTGTGTACACACCTATGTGTGTGCCTGTGTGTGTAGCTGAGTGCATCTGTGTACGTGTACCTGTTCATGTGCCTACCTGTGCATGTGCCTGTGTGTGTACCTGAGGGCACCTGTGTGTGTGCACCTGGGCCTGTGTGTCTGTGTGTGTGCCTCTGTTCACATGTGCCTACCCCTGAAAGGAGAGCACGCCCTTTAGGGCATCGCAAGGTGGGCAGAGGGAGAGACATGGCAAGTGTGGGTGTGGGGAGAAGGGCAGGGAGGGAAGGGAGGGCAGGGAGGGCAGGGGGACTCCCGGGGAGGGGAGGCGGGGCTCCGACCAGGGGCTCCTCCGGCTGAAGTCTGCAGCTGCTACCCAGACTGTGTCTATAATCACCTCATGTGCCACAACACCTCTAAGTGGATTAGCAGGGCAGGACCTGGTCTGCCTGGTTCATGTGCCTGACTCTGGGAAGGTGCTTAACCCCAGGGGATGGGGGTGGGGGTGAGAGAGGGAGGGGGGAGGGGCAGAGTCGGGGGTTGGGGGTGGGGCCGGAGCTGGCTTAATCCCAGTGGATGGGTGGGGGAGGGAGGGGGCCGCCACACTTTCCCAGGAGGACTCCTAAACATTTCTCCAACAGGAAGAGAAGACAAATATAAATTCAGTAGGTGTTTTCTAAAGTCAGTAATGTAACTATTGTTCTTAATTAAAAGTGTATGATTTGGAAAGAAGCCCCCAGCCACAGTTTGCTATCAGTACAAACACTGAGGAGGAAGACGTCCCACATACCCAGTCCTCTGATGAAAGCACGGACCACAAGCAGGGACAGACAGGAGGCACAGCGGCGCCCCCACGCCCTGCAGGCCGCCAGCCCTCCACCTTCTGGGGACAGAGCCCACACACAGCCGCTTCCTGGGGAGGCCGGCGGTGCCGGTGTTCACGGGTCCACGTTCCCTCTGCCACATTGCCCACAGACGCGCGTCTCCGTACGTGGATGCCAGGAGTCGGACTGCGTGTATTAAAGCACGGGGTCACCAAGAGCTCAGAGAAGCTGGGATTTTTAACTTAGGTATTTTCCAACACGTTGCAGCAACAGCAGCGGCCACGGTGGCTGGGAACGCGTGGCCCTAGCGGGTGATGGCGTGGCAGCCACTGAGCAGACGGAGCCTCTGTCCTGTCTTTACTGCCACTGGGGGGGTCCCTTGCGGGGACAGCCTGTCTGCCTCCGCCCACGTTCCTCCTGAGCTCTTTAACTTAAAACAGCCTGGTGATCATTCTTCAGATCTCAGACAGCGGCCTTTGTCCCAAGTACAAGTGTTAGCCTGTATCTTTTGACTTTGATTACGGTACTCCGGGCTGTCTAGAAATTTCAGTTTCATAAAGTTAAATTTTTCTCTCTTTACGTTTATTTACTCATTTTCTGAGAGGGCGCACAAGCGGGAAGGGGCAGAGAGAGAGGGAGAGAGAATCCCAAGCGGGATCCACACTGTCGGCGCAGAGCCTGACACGGGGCTCGAACTCACAAACCACGAGGTCACTGAAACTCATGACCTCAACCGACTGAGCCATCCAGGCGCCCCGAAGTTAAAATTTTCTATCTGTAGTTCCAAAGATTCTGTATTTCCTATTTGATTTGTGAGGCTTTTTGCCACTCCAGATCATACAAGTATTTTTAAGTTTCTATGCTACAAAATACAACAGCGACTATGCACAGCATGTCCGTGTGGTTCACAGATTATACAGAACAGGATAACCTTCCTCTTCTTGCAGAGTGTTGTGGACGTCACATTGCCCACTAGAGTAAACCGTGTACAAATAGAAGCTAGCTCCAGCGATCCCACTCCTGGGCGCCCCCCCCCAAACTGAAAGCGGGGCCTCAGACACCCCCGTGTGCACGGCAGCAGATTCACAGGAGCCCGCAGGTGGAAGGGACCCGAGCGTCCACTGTGGATGAGCGGGTAAACGCAGCGGTCCGTCCACACGGCACGACGTCCCCCGGCCTCGCGGGAGGGAGACGCCTGCCACGCGCGGAGGAGCCCCGAGGTCGCGATGCCCGGTGACAGAAGCCGGACGCAAAAGGACAGGTCCGGTGTGACCCCCACCCTCTCGAGGTCCCCGGAGCCGTCATGTTCACAGAGGGCAGACAGACAGAGGGAGCAGGGGAGGGGACGGGGACCTGGTGTCTGATGGGGACAGACCTTCCTTTCGGGGGGACGGGAGAGTCCTGGGGACAGAGCGGGTGGGGGGGTGGCTGTGCGTGGGGTGAGCGTGCTGGGTGCTCCTCAACTGGACACCTGAAAACAGTTCACACGTTTTACGTGACGTGTGGATTTCACCCCCATCTTACAGAAGGAAGGCTTCCACGCAGCGCCAGTCGCCAGCCTCCACCGTTAGTGGCGCTTAAATACAGCTCCGCCAACGGGGCCGGGAGCCGGCAGCCCCAGCAGGCTCAGTGGTCTCCTGGTCTTGACAACCGCCTGTGCGATGTGGGGAGAGGCTGGGAGGGGGTCCCTGCAGCCGGCAGGAGGCGGGTGCACCCCGGACCCGGGCGCCAACGGGACAGGAGCGCTGCTGTGGGGCCGCGTGCACTCAGGGCCCGGACACAGGAAGAGTCCAGCCTGACTCAGGCACCCCCCCAACCCCGGCAGCCCTGAGCCAGCCACTGGGAGCCCCCTGCCGGGTCCACCCCGATCGGCATCCTGCAGGGCGGGCTGAGGGGGAGCTGGACGGACAGCAACAGGCGACACCTGGCACAGGTGACCACGGATCCCATGTGTCCGGCCCGAGAAGCCAGAGCCTGGCCGAGTCGGAAGCCTGGTTGGGGGGAGGATTACCGGCACATTCCTGGCTGGCAGGGGGTTGGGACCCCAGGAGCCTGTGCAGGTCTAGGAGCAAAGGGAACCTTCCAGAGTGGCCACACACGCTTTGAGGATCCGCGGAAGAGTGGGGGCCCAGCGGGCAAGGGGATGAGATGCTTGTGCAAAGGCCCTGTGGCAAAGAAGAGGGTCTAGGTAGGATGACAAAGAGGCTCCGGAGGGCACTGGGGGCGAGGTACAACAGGGTGAGGAGGGCAGTCAGGAGACACAGACACGGAGGCTGGTGCCCGTGAGCTGTGAGGACACAGTGTCAGAGGACTGCTTGTGACCATCTGCTGGAGAGACCCAGGGATGGAGGTAGAGATGATGAGGCCTGGCTCCTGGGGACAGAGCCAGCCTTGGGGACGCCTGACCCGAGGAAGGTGGCAGGACACAAGCAGCTTCTCACGGGGTCAGGGGGGACGCTCGAGAGGAGAGGAGCTGCAAGGGAAACAGGGCACCTGCCATCCAGGAGCGGGGCGGCACCACGGGCGGGCCTGGGCAATGGTGCCGGGACCAGCCGAGGGAAGGGGTCCGTGTGCCACAGCAAAGCGCCGGGAGGCCGGGAGCAACAGAACTGGGGCCACAGAGGGGGCACTGGCAGAGGCCCAGGGGAGGAGACGGCAGAGCCTGTGCGTGCCCGCCTGGTGGCCTCTCTTTTCTCCTTGTGGTCACCTGCTGACTGAACGGCAGAGGCCAGGGGAGTAGTCAAGCTTTGCAAGAGCGGGTGGGAAGGGGTGCGTGGGTGGGAGAGGGGAGGGCTGAGATGCCCCGACCCCGCAGCAGAGCCTAGCACCCCTCCGCAGCAGAGCCGGGAAGCCAGGGGCTGGCCGGGAAGGGACAGCTGGGCATTTGCAGAGTGGCGTTTCCAGGGGGCCTGGGTGACAATGGGGCACAGGCCCTGGGCCAGGAGCTGGCGCTCCGGGAGGCAGGGGACAAGCCGAGCCTGGTCTGGCCGCTCACAGGAGTGCTGGGCACGGCGGCCGTGGGGCTGTAAGCACTGGTTTCCTAATTGTTTTCCGGCAGTCCTGCATCGCGGTCCCGCTAAGAGTCCTGATCCTTCCACGGCACATTAACTGGCTGTAGGTCAAGGACGCCGTGTGGGTTTGCTTTCATATGCTCGGCTCGGCTGGGGGGTCGGTGGGGGGGGGGGGGAGGAGGTGAGGGTGAAGCATCTGAAGAAGCCCGAGCCCTGACCCCGCGGGGACACCCAGCCTCACAACATCCTTCCTGCATGTTCAGAAAGTCCCAGAAATATTTTACGCACCTCGTAGGCCTCAGGGAGGCGAGGGCGTCCTCTGCAACAGAGGAAGAAGCGGGATGTGGCGCGGATGGCTGCCGTCCCCTCCCAGCCTCCGGCACAGCGTGGCTTCCCGCCGAGCCCCTTGGGCAGGGTGTTGGCCCCTGGAAGGACCCTGCCCCAAGGTCAATGGCTGGGGGGTTTCCCACAAGGGTGGCAATTCTCCTCCACCCGCAGCCGACACCACTGGGTCTCCTCACGTCCTCATGGCCGCCCTGCCTGAGTCCAAGCTGCCCCTCACCGCCAGCTGACCGGCTCCCAGCCGGGCCTCCCACAGCCCCTCAGGGTCAGTCACGCGCTAGAGCAGCTCACAGAGCTCAGGGCACAGCGGAGGCTGCAGCCTGGGAGCAGCTGCGGGAACTGCCACACGGACGATTCGCAGGGCCACACGCGATGAGATGGGGGGGGGGGGGGCGGCTGGTGCGGTTGGGGGGGCCCCTGGGGCCGGGTGGGGGGGAGGGGCCCACATGGGACAGGTGGGGGGGCACACAGGACAGGCGGGGGGGGTGCATGGGACAGGCAGGGGGCTCACAGGAAAGGGTGGGGGCGCACGGGACAGGCGTGGGGAAGTGTGAGGAGCTGCACATCCTCTCTGGGTGCCACCCTCCCGCACCTGCGGGGCCGTTGGGATGGGGCTGAAAGCTGCAGGCCGCGCTCAGGCGGTCTTTCTGGGGACCAGCCACGTGACGAGGCCCCACCCTGAGTCGCCCGTCAGCATCAGCTGAGGCCGGCTCCCAGCGCTCCCTACGGTAATAAGACGCGCCCGTCACCCCCGGCCCCATGGGGTTTCGCAGGTCTGTGGGGGCAAAGCACAATGTATTTCTCATCAGGCCGCGGTCTCACAGGCCAGTGTGAGTCTCACACGGGGTCTCAGCTCGTGCTGTCCTAGAACGCCTTCGAGACTCTCGTGTCAGTGGGGTATCCTGCTAGCTCACCCTTTTCCGTGGCCACGGGGTGACCCCGAACTTGGGATACAACTTACAGCCACCCATCTCCCGGCATGCCAGTTGTTTCCACTGCGCTGCTGCGACCGAGCTCGGACGGCTTCCTCGAGAAGGTGTGAGTGTGCAAGTCGCCCTGTTCCTGAAGCGACGGCACACGGATCTTGGATGCTCACGTGTTGTGCAAAAATGCGGGTGGTGACAGAGAAGACGGGATGGGAGGACGCAGGCAGGCGTGCGTGCCGGGCCGGGAGCGGAGGGCAGCCCGCCCGGGGAGGCCACACGGCGAGAGGAGGCGGGAGGCGCCGCTTCCCCCCGACTTGCCGTGGCTCTGATGTGGCTCTCACGGTAAAGGAACACTAAGTGTCTGCGGGGAAGTCAGGTGTCTCGGGGCCTAGAAGGTCTGAGAGCCACCCGCTCTCCCGTCCCCCCGGCCAGGTCTCCTTAGTGAGAAGTACAGGCACGAGCAAACACGCCCCGTGGGAAGGGCCGCGGTCACAGTCCCGGCTCCACCTGGCGCTCCGAGGACCCAGGGGCCAGCCCCGTGGGCACCGGCGTCGGAACTGTGGGCATCCTACCAGACCCCGCACTTGGATAAAAGGGCTCCGTGTGGCTTTTCTCTTCAGGTGACGGTTGCTCTGCTTGAAAGGACAGAGGCCTCACAAGGAACGTGAGGTGGCAGCAGGACTGGGCACGGACGTTCCCATTGGGACAGCGCTGGCGGCCGGCCGGCCAGACACGAGCCTCCCGTGGGCGGAGAGCGGGCCCGGCGCCCAGCCTGGCGTGGAGCGTCTGGTCCCCCCCCCCAGCCCCTCCCCCGCGTCCCCCACCCCCAGTCCTGGCTCCTCACATGAGAGGAAATGGGTCTGTCAGCGGGCCGCAGGCTCCACCTCTGCAGCGGGCACCGTGGCCCCCGGACGGGATGAGACCCCTCCCGCTGGCGTCCTTGTAGCAGACTCCTCTGGGGAGGCGGGGGCTTGCCCAGGGCCGCCTCCGCTGTCCTCTGGGTCCGGGCTCGCTCCCGCCACTCCCGCGGCGCTCCTTCGTCTCTGGGGAGGACACGCGGCACGTTAGCCGTGGAGCCAGAAGCAGCCCCGGCACAGTTTCCCCCCAAACCCTTTCCCGTCCCTCCACCCAGACGGGAGGCGCCCGTCTGCTCCTGTCCCACGGCGCCAGTTCCGCGCGAGGGGACAACACAGGCCGCCCCCCCCCCCCCCAGCCCCCGGGGCTGAGCAGCAGGACCCTGTCCCCAGGGAAGATGTGGGCTCTGGCTGAGCTCAGGAATCAGAGGCCTTCACGGTCCCCATGACACCTGAGTTCCTTCCTTCCTCTCTCTCTCTGTCTTCCTTTTTTTAGAGAGGGGGTAGGGGAGAGGGAGAATCGCAAGCAGGCTCCATGCTCGGTGCAGAAGCTGACGGGCGGGGGGGAGGCTGGATCCCACGACCCTGGGATCAAGACCTGAGCTGAAACCGAGAGTTGGACGCTCGACTGCCTGAGCCACCCAGGCGCCCCAAGTTTCACTTCTATGGCTGAGCTTCTGTCCGTCCCCAATCCCCTCCACCAGGGAGCCTCCACGCTGCCGGCACAGCCTGGCCCTGCGCGGTGACCTTCCAACGGTATCCACTGGACTCACTGCCTGCCCCGCAGAGGTGGGGCTGCCACACCGGATGCGTGTGCAATTTCTGAACTAAACGGAAAGACCAGCTCCTGGTTTGGCCGTGGTTGCAGCTTCCGGGATGGGGTGGGGTCCCAGCAAATCCTCACCTGGCCCTGGGCTCCACCCAGCTCGCATTCTGGAGTCTGGAAGCTCTCTCCCCAGCCCCACGCCCCTGCGAGGCCGCTCCCAGGAGGTTCCTGAGCCCCCTCCCCCAGCTGAGCCAGGCTCCACCACTCGTCTCCTCAAATGGAGCTGTGGCCTTCCACGACCTGGCCCCTGCCGTGCCCCTGGACAGGGGCTCCACCCGAGCGTCCACTACCCCTTACCCACTCCCGGAGAGGCACAGGGGGACGCTCCGAGGGCTTGCATGTGCACAGATAACCAGGTGGCGTGACGGGGGTCCACGGGGCTGTGCTGAGTCTACGCCACAGGACGGGACTCTGCACCACGCTGTCACCAAGGGACCACAGAACGCCAGCGCAGGCCCGAAGCAGAGAAACCAAGAAGACAGCGCTCGCTTGCCCTTGGTATTCAAGAATCTCCTCCCACAGAGCTGTGCAGCATCCTGGGCGCTGCTCGAGCCCAACCTCGTGGCAGGAAGCACATGTCCTCCCGGCCACACGCCACGGTGACCACAGCCACCCCAAGTGCCACCTCCCTGCACGCTGTCCAGATCGTAGGACTCGCACTGACACAAGGCAGAGCGAGGGATGAGGGGGTCCAGAAGGGCGGGTTGGGTGGGTGTCACAAAACACCATAAAGAAAGGAGCCTGGAGGGAGGTGGGGAGGGGGACCCTCCTGCAGCACCGTGAGAGGCGCCCCAGCGGTCACGGTCATGCCAGTACGTTTGCTCCAGAAGGGCCTGCAGAACCGCCCTGCAAAGCCACCTGTGCTTGGCCCACCCACACCTGGAGCTGGTGGTAAAGCAGCAGATCCGGGACTCCAGCCGGAGGACTCTCTGGGGGACCCGGGGGGGGCGGTCTGAGCTCCAGCCGGGGGCCTGCCTGGCATGTGGCTGATGACCAGTGTGAACGTGCCCTGGAGCCGGGACTCCAGGCATCAGCCGCACGTCTGTCATCAGGATGACAGCGCAGGGGGTGGAACACGGCGAGTCCTGACCAGTTCTGAGGGCCGGACACCTCCCTCCTTCCACAGAGAGGGTCGGGCCCCGTCAGCATGTCCGGCGCGGGGAGGACACGGGCGCACCCCTGCCACACTGTTCCTGGGCAGTCTGTCCCATCAGAGTTCCCAGAGTAAACGCACTTGTGCGGGGAGATTTCAGGACTGAGGAGGGTCTATTCACACGGGGTGTGGCAGGCGGCCCCAGGGACAGAGCAGGAGCCCTGTGACCCCAAGCCCCGGGGAGGAGGGACGGAGAGGCTGCCAGGACCCAGGCGGCACTTACAGGGAGGTGCAGGGGGAAGTAGGACCCTGCCCTCCCTCTCCGCCTCCTCTCTGATCTCCTGCTGAGGCCCCCCATTGGCCAAACCCAGCCAGAAGTTAAGGGGCACTGGGGTGCCGTGGACGCAGTCCATGCTGGACGGCCTCCTGGGGCCCAGAGCGCAGTGGAGACGGGCGGCCGGCGGAGCTGGAGGACAGAGGAGCCGGTGAGGACAGGCCCCGGCCCGGTCCCCCGTGAGGCTGACCGCAGCTGCAGGCAGCACACAGCCACCCAGGCAGGGGCAAGAGGGAACTGTATCGGTGGGTGCTTCTTTTTTTTTTTTTTTTTACATTTATTTATTTTTGAGAAACAGAGTGAGACAAAGCATGAGCGGGGGAGGGGCAGAGAGAGAAGGAGACACAGAATCCGAAGCAGGCTCCAGGCTCTGAGCGAGCGGTAGCACAGAGCCCAATGCGGGGCTCGAACCCACGAACTGGGAGATCGTGACCTGAGCCGAAGTTGGACGCTCAACCGACTGAGCCACCCGGGCACCCCAACTGCATCCTTGTTTTAATTTTCAACTTTATTCTTTAGAGCTAGAGAGAGCGAGCGAAAGCGGGCCCGTGTGTCAGTGGGGGAGGGGCAGGGGGAGGGGGAGGGCCTCAGGCAGGCTCTAGGCTCGGCACAGAGCCTGACCGGGCTGGGGCTCAATCCACGACCCCGTATCATGACCTGAGCCAAAACCGAGAGTCGACGCTCAACTGACTGAGCCCCCCAGGCTCCAGGGAGCAAGGCTTCAATGCACAACCTTCCTTAGAAGAGCCAGGTGATCTGGAAGAGGGCAGGAGGGGATTAAGAAAGAACAAGGAATCTGAGAAGACGCAACGACCCCCCGAGGCCTGTGCCCACAGGCTCCCGCCCGAGGGAGACAGCCAGCAGAGCACCCCAGAGGAGGCAAGAGCAGAGCCTTCCCCAGAGAGAGGCAGGCCCCGCCAGATCACTCACCTTACGCGCTGCCCCCTGGGGGCCAAGGCCCCGCTGTCCTCCGCTCTCCTGGAGGGAAGCCCCACTCGCTGCCGTGGCGCCAGGGCCGGCAGGATGCTCCTGAGGGAGGACATCTTCCTTCTACCGTCACAGACCCCGCGGTGAACACTCCCCCGCGGACGGCACGTGCTAGAACACAAACACGCAACACGTCCGAGCAAGGCCCGTGGGGGCCGATGGTGAACGCCCACGGGCGCCCACGGAAGCCCCCGGAAGCCCGAGGCCTGGCCGCTCCCAGGGCCCGGCAACCCGGGGCTCCTGCCTCGGAAGGCTCTGGGTGTCTGGGAACCAGAAAGACAAGTGCAGTTGCAGAGAGGACGGCCTCCTCCTTGTCCATAACGAGACGGGGGAACTGAGGGAGGGCGGGGGCGGGGGTCAGGCCCCGGGGACTCAGTGCTGAGCTGGCTGCAGCTGGACACCCACACTGCCCACCCCCAGCGCCTCCCAGGTTGGAACCGGTCGACAACACTTTGGTTTTCTCCCGAGAGTTTTCCAACCCCAGGACGGGAGAAAGAATGGCACAATGAGCCCCCGAACACCTTTCACGGGGAAGGAAGTTTTCCATCGGCCGGACCCCAGCCTTTCAGACTTACTTTTCCTAACGGCCCCCCTACGGAGCGGGGCCACAGACACCGCGGACCACTGGACACGCGTCCCTGCCGTCCGTGGGGGCTGTGCCGCGCAGCGCCACAAACCACAGTAACCGCTGGGATTCTGTGCTCCCCAGGGGCCGATTTCTGTCCCCCTGGAATGGTACTGCCCCCTCGTGTGAGTGTATGAGCTATATTCACCAGTAAACATTCTCTTTCTTTGTCCCTCCATCCACACGCATGCGTGCACACGCACACGCACAGGGTCTGAGTTTCTGGGTAACCGTAATCCCAAACCAGGCAAGCATCCACCACATGACAAATGCCGACAGGGCACAGACATCTACCTGATGTTTTAAAAGATCACGAAAAATGGTATTACAATGTTGGCAAGATCAAGAAAATACACCCCGGCTTTTAAATTTTACCTGAGAGCGTGTCTGGAGCCGGAATGTTCTTTCTCCTTCGTGTTCAGAGCCGCCTTGAGGTTTGCAGGTAACTCTGCCGGTAAGAGCTGCTTTGCAAGCACTTCCTCCCGCTCCTTCTCGACAATCTCCTGCCTCAGCCTCCAAAAGCGCCGGATTTCCTCCTCGCCTGGCCGGTCTTCTGGGGAGGCAGTGGACTTGCCCAGCTCACTCAGGCCTAGCTTTTCAACAGGAGGGAGAAAGTCTGCCTTTTCTTTTAACCTCCCTCTCCGATCCTGAGAATTAACAGCGTCTTTGTCGGCCACTCGCTCTGCAGACAAACACAACGGGGGGAGGTGGGGGCTCCGTTGGGTGCGTCGCGGCAGCTGGTCAAGTCACCGGTAGACACAGTGCTGCTGGCCGGCTGCACCTCTACACGGCCCCCCCGGAGCCGCACGACCCTGGTGACCGGCTCCCTCCACCCTCCGGCCCTTCCACTCCACGTCTATTTATACAGATAAAGCACACTTTTCTGTTCCACCAGCCTCGATCTTGTAATAGCTTTATTTCTAATTAATTCTTGGCCCAGGTGCCTACTGTGTATGCTTAGCAAGATCGCTGTCGACCCTAAACACTGTCCTCTCCAGGTAAGTTACTTGAAAGGAAGCTCGCCAGGAACACTCTTGCCTTTAGGATTACGCTCCACTGTCCCCTCGTGGACGAGCAGCCCCCACCTCCTGCCCCCGCCCCCACCAAGGCAGAGTGGGGTCACAGGTCGAGCTGACACAGACTACTTTTTGGCTTTAGGTTCAAACTCGGAATACAGACACTTTGCATCTGGCCATCCTTTCTGAAAAATGACCCTGGATTCTGATCCGTCATTAAGAGATGAAGCCAGTATATTCTTTGGGAAACCAGGGTGTTCGCGGTTTGCAGCAGCAGGCAGGCAGTAGACGAGGCAGAGGCACGGAGCCGTGGGCGCCCTCCTCGTGCCCTGGGCCCTCGCCATCCCGGGGTTTGCCAGACTCCCCTCCTACCAGCACCCGCACATCTGTGCCTGGCTGTTTCCTCCAGCCCACGAGGGCCAGCGTGCAGGGCTGGGGACTGTGCGCCCCTCCGTTCGGCGAGGCATTGCTGGTCTGGAGCCCGTGTGCCCTACTCCCCCACTCTGCTGTGCAGTAACCCCTGGGCCTGTGTCCAAGCGGGAACCCTGTGACTGCTGAGGCCTTGTGAGACCCAGGTCCTGACCCGGTCCGTGGGGGCAGCACCCGAGGGGCTGTGACTGCTGAGGCCCAGTGGGGGCTTCCCACCTCTGTTGGCCTCCTCCCCTTCCCCACGTCCCCCGCTTCAGCCTCCATGCTGCCGCCTGGATCGTCTCTGGAATCAGTTACTGGCCCTTGAATCCTGACTCAGGAACTGCTGTTGGGGGACACAAACTAAGACACTTTGCAAATACAATCGGTGTTTACGATGACACATTCTGGGGTCATTTGTTTGGATTTGGGGAAAAGATCAGCACTTCCTAATTACTTTGGCCATTCCTTATGTTTACTGAGATGGACTTAGTAATTCACACACTCTGACTTTATCACATGTGTAACTATCATGGCTGCTTCAAGTCTAGGCGTTTTCTTAATCTAGGAGCTGTGTTTAAGCAGTAAAGATTTCGACGCTCTGAAGTAAATTTTCAGAGCACTCACTTTTTTCGTGAGCATTCAATCACAATTCTCTTTTACGTCTACTTTGTCTGAGTGGAACCACAGTGCTCCTTCCCGGTTAGATTATCTCGTGAGCACGTGAGAACGCCTGGCTGGATGGTCCGCACGTTGAAAACACAGGATCAAATGTTGAGTGAGCGTGCGCCCAAAAAGTGGCAAGGCCACGGCCCCCTGCCCACGAGTAAGGGTGTGTCACTGCTCCTGTTGTGAAATAGTTGTCAGACGGGCCGAGGGAATTTCCTGAAGCAGGTGCCTGGTGAAGCTTACTGGTGAGGAGTTTCATTCGATTTACCCAGTGAACTTTTACCAGATCCCACCCTAGACGGGCTCTGCAAGGGGTGCGGAGAGCGCAGACCCATGAACACAGAACCGAGGAAAGACACAGCTCCGACAGGCCGGCACGAACCCCCGATCGTGGCGTGAGTCCAGCAGAGGCCACGCGAGGCCCAGCGTGCTCCCCGTGACGCCACTGAGGAGACAGACTCCCCGGGTCCTGGTTTTAACAAGCAGCGACTTCAGTTCTAATGCAGTTTGGTGCAGTGACGGTCCCACCGACCTGGAGAAGCTGACCCTCGGGGAGGAGGCCGCTGCATGGCGCAGGCCTGCAGGAAGGCCAGGATGGCACCCAGTCCCTTCTGCACGACGAGGGGGGCGGGGAACTCCAGGGGGCAGTGTCTCAGATTCAAGGCTCTCAGTGTGGTCACGTTCCCTGTGAGAGAGGAAACCACACCTTCACACACTCCTCCCCGGAATGAAACAAGGAGGAAAGATTAAAGATCCTATTGGGAATTTGGGGGAAAATGATACGACAGATGTATCGTTTGCTGTAAAATGCTGTACAAAAAACCAAACAACTCTGCAGCGGAGGCAGATCGCACAGGTGAAGACCAGGCGAGTCGCAAAAGGAAATAAATGAAATAGAGCGAATAGAAGAGACGGTAACAGCCCTGAGGCAAAAACCAGAATACGAAATTGCTGTATCACCTGAAACGCAACAAAGCTCGGGGAGGACAACGTGACCCATACTCAGGAAACAAGCGTCACTAGAAACTGTCCCCAAGCAGCTCAGATGTTGGATTTAGCGAACAAAAAATTCCAAGCAGTCACAAATATGTTCAAAGCCACGAAGGAAGCCATGTTTAAATAATTACAGAAAACTATGGTAAAATGACTTAACAGGGATGAAATGGCGACAGAACCAGAAATTATACGAAAAGAACCAGCTAGCGGTTCTCGAGTTGAAATTGCAAAGACCGGGGCGGAAAGTTCTCTAGAGGGACCCGGCAGCAGACACGAGACGGCAGGGGACACAAGTGAGCTTGATGATGCGAGAGAAACGCCATGAGAGGGGAGAACTCCGGAGGCCCGCGGGACGGCCTCACGTACGCTGGTGCACACGCCCGGAACGAGAGCCACGGAGGACCCGAGCGGGGCCCGGCACGCTCTCTGAGGAAAGCACGGCGCGCGTGCCCCCCGCCCGCTGACAGACGCCAGGGTACTGTCCAGAAGTTCACCCCAAGTAGGTGACCGCCAAAGGCAGTCACGCCTGGAAACATCAGAGTCACCGAAGACGCAGAGAAACGAGCTTGAAAAGCACAAAGGAGCAACAAACCATCACACACACGGGCACAGGGGTAACTTCCGGGTCCCACAGTGGAGGCCAGAGCCCAGTGAACGGCACGCTAGCGTGCTGACAGAAGACGCCTGTGGGTGGGTCAAGCGCCCTGAGCCCACCCAGACGGCCCTGCGGGAACACGGGCGAGAGGCAGCTGTCGGATCGCCCGAGCTGCCCGGCGGCAGTCGGTGACCCGGCTCAGGGACGCCACGTCTCCCCCGCCGTTCGCACAGTTTCAAGTCCAGCTGACCGCCCCTGGACGGAGGGAGAGAGTACAGTAGCAGAGGACAGAACCCGTGAGCCGCAAGGCCGGCGAACGCAAAGCAGCAGGATCCGGAGCAGAGACGAGAGGGGACGGGAAAGAGGGGCAGACTCGAGGCCGCAGGACAGAGTGGAGATGCCGACACCCACCGAAGGGCGGCCCAGGAGGAGAGAAGAAAGGATGTGAAGGAAGCAAGGTCTGCAGAAAGAATGTCAATAGCCAGGGGTTGTCCAGCTCTGATTAAAGACCCCGCTAAAGGTTCCAGAAGCTCGGTGAACCCCAAATAAAGCGGATGCAAAGAGAGGTGCGCCCAGGCACACCGCAGGTAAACTGCTGAAAATTAAACACAAAGAGAGGAGTTTTAAGCAGCCAGACGAAAAAAGCTTCATCGGTTTTAAAGGAAAAACAGTAAGACTGACAGCTGGCTTTTCAGCAGGAGTTAGAAGCCAGAAGACGATAAAGACATTTTCAAAGTAGTGAACACATCTCTGAAACCTGGGTTCTCTACTCAGCCAGACAGCCTCCAAATAGGATGGAAAATAAAGATGACTTTTTAGAAAAGCAAACTTGAAGAATTCATTACCAAAGAGGAAACGATAATACTAAAGGGAGCTCTTCAGGCCACGACGGTCATCCTGGGTGAAAGCAGGCAACTTGAGAAACGAAGGTTAAACATGTAAGAAAATATAAATAAATACTGACAGTTTAAGATGCGTTTGTGGGATTTATAACAAGACGTAAAAGCAAAATCTATGAAAACAGCACAAAAGGCAGGAAGGAGGCAATGGAACTAAAAGTGGTGAAAGTCTGACTTCAGCCGACGGTCATCGGTCAAGGATGGACGGCATAGTGTCTAGAGAACCACTAAGTGATGCTACAAACAGTACAGTGAAAACTCTGCTTCCCGCAATGTTGGCGTAGCTCCAATCTGATCAACTCCCTGCAGATAACCAGTCTGCAGAAACTGGGCAGAATATACACCACCCGTGGGCCAGCCAGAAATGAAAAGCAGGCAGAAACTAGAGGGGGAATGACAGCTTCCAGAAGAGAAAGACACAAACGCCTGTACCATCTGTATGGCTTTCTGCCTGACGGAAGGCCCCAGAGGGCCCCACGCGGGGCAGCTGTAACAGACAGAAACCTATGTGACCTTGTAGCGCCAGAGGACAGACCACAGAGCTACTGCACCAGCCAGAAAGCGAAGGGGTGCACTCCAGACAGAAGAGGACCGCCAAGGGGGGCCCTACATCGCCGTGCAGACGGCCCACGTGCAAATCCCTGGCACGGTCCTGAACTTCCCGCACACAGCACGGCCGCACCTGCTGCCCGATGCCAGAGACAGTCGGGAGTCCGGGTTCTCTCAACTTAGCTATTAAAAAAAAAATTTTTTTTTTTAAGTTTATTTATTTATTTTGAAAGAGGCAGAGACAGTGCAAATGGGGGAGGAGCAGAGAGAGGAAGACAGAGAATCCCAAGCAGGCTCTGCACTGTCACCTTGGAGCCCGATGTGGGGTTCGAACTCAGGAAACCGTGAGATCATGACCTGAGCCGAAACCAAGAGTTGGACACTTAACCGACTGAGCCACCCAGGTGCCCCTCAACTTACCTATTTTTAAAAACCAGTACTCTAATGAGGAAGATAACAGAACCCAGAATCTCCACAGTGTATCTACCACAACGTCCAAGATATAATCCAAAAAATTATTAAAGGAAAAATTTGTTTATACTAAATGAAGCAAAAGAACTCTGCACAGAAAAATAGAAACTATTTTTTTAATATGAAAATCCAAGGACTGAAAACACAGTATCTGAAAAAAAATTACTAGACGGTTTTCACAGCCAATTAGAGATGACAGAAAAAGATGCATGAACTTGAAGATACCGATCTATCTTCTCTGAAGAGCAGAAAAATTACCTTTTTAAAATGTACAGAAGCTCAGTAATCTGTAGGACAATAACAAAAGGTTGGACAAATAAATAGAGACAGGAACAGAAAAATATTTGAAGAGTTAATGACCAAAATCTTTCTCAAATTTGGCCAAAAGATGTGAATTTCAAAACTGGATAAGTTTAACAAACACCTAGTAGGAAAAATATAAAGAAAACCACAGCTAAGGACCTCAGAGTCAAAGCACTGAAAAGCAAAGATACAGAGAAATCTTGAAAGTAACCAAGGCCAATGGACACAGTTCATAAAGGAGGACGAAGAGTGAGTGACCTCAGAGGCCTGAGGGCAGTGGAACTTCTTTTAAGTCCTGGATGAAACAAATTCAACCCCTATTTTTAATCAACAATATCCTTTGAGAATCAAGGCAAGGGGTGCCTGGGTGGCTCAGTCTGTTAACTGACTCTTGATTTTGGCTCAGGTCATGATCTCACGGTTTATGGGTTCGAGCCCCGCATTGGGCTCTGTGCTGACGGTGCAGAGCCTGCTTGGGATTCTCTATCTTTCCCTCTGTGTGCCCCTCCCCCATGTTCCCTCTCTCTCAAAATAAATAAACTTAAAAAAATTATTTACATCAAAAAAGAACTAAGGCAAAATGAAGACATTTCCAGAAACATAACAACTAAAAGTCTGCCAACAGACTGATTTTAAGGAATCTGAAGAGAAGTTCTTCAGGCTGAAGGAAAAGGATACCAGCTGTATCTTCAGGAAAGAGTGAAGAGATGTCTACCTGGAATGCTACACGTTAAGCATACATAAAATACTTTTTTTCTCTTAGTTTCTCTAAAAATACGTGACCGCTGAAAGCCAAAACTGTAAGTCTGTGTTGCAGGTTTATAACATAGGTAGACCTCATCTGTAGGACAGGCTGAGTATAAGGAGGACCGGAGAGAGCAGGCCGGTATGGCTATCAGGTGGTGACATCAGGTGGTGACACAGGACAGCGCTAGCTCGAAGCATGCGTGGTGTAACCCCGACAGCAACCGTGAGACGGTAAAGGCATGTTAAGAAGAATAACTAAAAAGTCAATATAAAAGTTAGAATAGAAGTCTAAGTAATACCCAATCAACATGCAGTTATTGGAACAGAAAAAAAGCCTTGAGACAAACAGCAAAGAGTAAAATGACAGCCCTAAATCCGTTCATGTCAATGATTATATTAAATTAACCAGTCTAACCACTTCCATTAAAAGGCAGAGATAGTCTGACTGGACGGAAGAGCAAGACCCTGCTACATACTGCCTACCAGCCATGCAATGGAGAGGCTGCGTGCAACGGAGAGGTTCGAAGTAAGAGAGTGGAAAAACACATCACGTAAAGAGTAGACAGAAGAAGGTGGCAGCGGCCACACTAGTCCGTCTTGAATGGCCAGTAAGCACCTGACAAGGTTCACGTCGGAAAACATCCGGAGATGCCGCGTTTTGGGGCTCGTGGGAGCAGCCACGGCAGCGCTTGGGGGAAATCACAGTTGTCACAGCATAGGTTAGAAAAGACAGGTTGAAAACCAGCGATCTGAGCCTCCAGCTCAACAGGTTAGAGAAAGAACAGCAAGTTAAACCTAAAGAAACAAAGACAGTAAAGAGCAGAAGTAGGAGACGAAACGAGACAGATGCGGAAAGGAGAACATCATCTTCTGCTTCCTCCTCCTCGTCATTCACAGCAAGGAAAGTGAGTAAAAGTGAAGGCAACGCCCTCATACGTGTCCCCGCAGATCCACCCCAAGACCGCAGTGCTGAGCCCAAACTGCAAGTCTCCAGGACAGCTCGTCGGGAGGCTTCAACTTAGAGACGGTTCAAAAGGAGGGTCCTGGGTGGGGGATGGGCAGTGAGGAGGGCCCCTGTTGGGAGGAGCACCGGGTGTTGCCTGGAAACCGATGTGACAATAAAGTTCCTATTAAAAACAAAAAGCAACAAACACAAAAGGAGGGTCCTTGGAACAGACATCGTCTGAGAGCCGTCAGTGGCAGAGCCCTCCAGGAAAGCGAGGGGAGGGCGAGTCCGGACCCGCGGGCCCCCCGGGAGGGACAGGGTGCAGCGGGGACCGGACCGGACCGGGGCTCGGGAGTTGCAGTGTGACGCCAGCTTTCCTGAGCTGTGCGCTGGCTACAAAGCGCCACATCCTTCTTCTCTCTCCCCCCGTGTTTACATGCCACACTTTCTACGAAGAACGCAGGTCCCCGCGTAACAGCTCTTGGGAGCCGCAGGGTCTGGGGCCCCGAGGGACACAGTGGAAGCAACTGTAAATAGTAGCCAGCTGGCCCCCGCGACTCGCCTGATACGTCCACTACAGGTTCCACTAACTCAAAAAGGCAGCATTTCACAGCCAGCTTTTATGGTATTGCTTGAATACTTACCCAGCTCCACAGGTAACATTTTGATAGGATTTCTTTCTAAAAGCAAAGTTTTCAAATGCCTTTAAAATAAAACAAAAAATACATAGTTTAAAAAGCAGAAAATCAAATGACCGTCCCTAAAAGACACCGTCAAATTTCCTCCTCTACCTCCTCTCCCTGGAGTCAGCTTCAGCGTGGGCACACTCGTTTATGGCGTGCCCCGCGTGTGGCCCCCGTCTCGGCATGGGCCAGACTCCCCCGTCGGCAAACTGACGCTTGGGGCCAGGCGACTCTCGGTCAGGCGGCCCGTCCTGCGGGGCGTCCAGCTGCCTCCTTGTCTCTACCCACGAGTGCCAGCGGGACCCTCCCCGAGCGGTGACAGCCGCGGAACCGAGGGCACCGCCGCCCTGCAGGGGGACGGGACTCCTGCCCGCGTCTCCTGAGGCATGCTGTGAGGAGGCCTCGCACCCTAAGGCGCTCCGCCAGCAAGTCCTCCCCGCTCGAAGTGCCGGGAGCCCGCTGCGGCGCGGCACGCTGTCCGGCTGGGGAGGGAGAATCCGTAGTCTCAGACGAGGAAGTGTGGCATCGGGGCATTTCTCCCTGCACCGGGCTCCAGACCCCTTCCTTCGTGGAACACCTAACACCCCTGCAAAATCTCTCACCAACTAGCCATGGAGAGAGAGGAGAGAAGGAGCACGAGAAAGTAACACTTTTTAGCAACACTAAAAAGTTACTGATTGAATGATAGGAAAAAAGGAGTATTTCACCTTAAATTCTATCTTCCCCCTTTTACCATACTGTGCTTCTTTTGTTTTACACACATCATTCTTTTTTTTTTTAAAGGTTTATTTATTTTAAGAGAGGGAGAGAGAGAATCTGTCAGTGCAGAGCCCAATGTGGGGCCCAAACCACGAACTGTGAGACCATGACCTGAGCTGAAATCCCGGGTCAGGCGCTCAGCTGACTGACCCCGGCGCCCCTCCCGTGGAATTCTGAAGACTCATCATACACTAGGGATCAATTTCTTTCTCTCCTTCACTTTTTAGGGACCAGCAGCTGAAATCTGGCATGAAAAGACCACAAACACCCCGGCTCATGTTTCCAGGCTTGGGGACGGGCACCCGGGACGAGGGCGGGACCCCTCCCCCTGTATCCGTGTCACCCCGGGCTTCGCCGAGCGACGTCTGGAGAACTGTCAAGTCGGCCGTAGTATTCGATCTCCACACCTTCGCTGCAGCACACGGCCGGCCGGCCGGAGTCCCGGGCACACGGGGCTGCTGACCGTGCGGGGATGGCCGCCGGCCACGACGGGGTTGCCCTCACAACCGCCTGGAGAAAAGCCCCCACCCGCCTCCTCCTCTATCGCGGGCCCGGGAGTCGCCGAGCCCTCAGCGGCCCCAGGAAAGCAGCCGGTTGACCACGGGGCTGGAGAGCCGTCCACCCTGCGTCCGCGCCTTCGGCCCTCCCGCCAGAGAGGAGGCCAGCAGCTGAATGCACCTACAGACCCCGCGTGTGAATCCGCGCGGCGGGTGGAGGGAGGCCATCTCAAGCCTTATCTCCCCTTGGACGGTGAAACCATTAAAATCCAGCATCACGACTGGTCAGGGTCCCCAAGATTTGAAAGCGGAAAGGCAACGTCACAGACACACAAGTGAGAGTTCTCCCGTTCCGGCCCAATGAAGTTTAAGTTCCGGACCAGCAACCCCAAAGGAAAATCAGATCGCCAAGGGGTGAGACGACTTTCTTCCCATTTACTCCCTTGGTTTTCCTTACTTATGTGAGGTCTGAAAGGAACAGACGTTATCGGTCAAACTTTTCTCAGTGTATGCAGAGTGAGTCATGTCAACGCCATCACTTCAACCACCGGGGGTTGGTTTAGCCCCAGTCGTGGGGTACAGAAACGGCCCGAGAACGGGGCAGTGCCTGCTCCCCACACGACGGACAGACCCCGCGTCTGCGCCCCCGTGAGCAGGCGGCCGGTGCCCTGGACGTCCCCGCCACCTGCCTGCTCACGGGGGCGCAGACCGCGGGAACCAACCACTCACCAAGGAAGCGTCTTCCCGCCTTATGCAATGACAGGTTTGAATATTCTCGTGCACACGTTAAATAATAAATTTGTAAATGTCGACCCCTAGGCACTGTCAGTCCACGGGCTGTTTCACAGATTCTCCACGGAACGCATACACCGCAGTGGCTTGCCGGGGGAGGCGCGTATGCTGACGTACAAATTTCTCTCTCTCTCTGCTAGCAAAGCTTACACATCCAGGACAATGAGCGGGGAGAACATTAGTACTGGCATTGCTTTCATTAGGCCTTTTGGAAAGTTTAAGGTTTTTAATAAGCCCGTAATTACTTAACACTTCTGATTAATATGTTTCAGCTCTTCGGCAAGCAGATCTAATTTTAATGATATAATGGGCTATAAATCACATGCAAAATTATATCTTAAACGACACTCAGCAGCTGGCTTTGACTGGCAAACCAACAAATTCCAAACTTGGAGAACTGTGTGCTTATTTTAGAAGAAAGAGCAGCGCTTTGGGAAGAGGCTTTCGTTTGTTTACACTCTGAGGAGCAAACCCTCTCCTCAACTGTGCTAACGCCACAGTCTAGGGACAGAAAGCACTAAATTATCCTCAACACAAAAGATGAGTCACCCTGGGAAGAACAAAGCCTTCCTTCCCAACCTGCCCTAACCAGCAGCTCAGAAGACTCACGAGGTCGTCAGCTGGAAGGGACACGGTGGGCGGTGGGCGCGGCCCTCAGCCACCGTCACACCGCCCTGGCTCTGGAGCCTGGGACAGGGTTCTGTGCGTCCAGCGGCACCACCCACAGATCCCGAAGGCCCCAGAGCTCCAGGAAGACGGCTCCTGGCTCTGACTGCCCCCTGCTGGAGACCCCAGCTTGTCATCAGAAGTCAGCTGCTTCCTTGTGGGGCCTGAAAAGGCACAAAAGGTTCACACATGTTCTCTCACTGTTACACGGACAGAACGCTCACTTCTTACAAAACACTTCAGCAAGCAGTGAGCCACCCTCCAGGCAAGTGAAGGGCCTTTACAGCCTCCCGCTCTGCTGCCTGGAGGGGCCACCACGGCCGTGTGCGGACGTGATTACTCACATAAGAACCGGGGGTCGCGCTGGGACACCTCTCTTCCTCCCATGCCCTGAGCCAACCTGAACCCCACCGGCCCTCAAGTCCACCTGGCACTCTGCCTTGTCAGCCTGGCCCAGGCCGCCGCCTCTGGCGGGGACGGCCGCGTAGCCTCCTAACTGGCCTTCCACGACCACCCTCGCCCCCCCTTACAGAGTGACCTCAAAGCCAAGTCAAACTGCAGCCCTCTCCATTCCGACCCACTGTGATTCCCAAGCTCTTTCAAAATGAAATCCGACACTGCATCCCTGGCCTGCTAGCTGGGCTGACCCTCTTTCAAGGCATTTCTTGCCCCTTCTGCCTCCTGTGTTCCTCTCTGGCCTCCCTGCCGTCCCTCACGTCCACCAGGCACACGCTCCCAGGGCCTACGCACGTGCTCCCCTCTGCCCAGGAAGCGCTGGCATTATAGGACAGCCTACAAGGGTTACCGGGTTTTCAAAAGGGTAAGAAACATTGATCTGGAAAGACGGGGGTGCTAAAAGCAACGGGGTCAGGACAGTAGGCCGAGCTCCCAGAGAGCGTGGCTCCCGGGGGAGTGCCGGTGCCAGCTGACCCTTAGCTGCTGGGGAGAGCCCACGTGAGGAGGAGGGAGGGAGGCGAGGCATTTGTTCTAGAAGCGGGGGTGCTAGGAAATCCCTGGAATCAGAGCCGCAGGAATGTGGGGTTTCCAACTCTCCAAACGGAAAGCATTTCTTGTTCTTTACCAGAAACTAAAAGGTATACACGAGTCCTCAGGAGCACAGAGGCCGGCTGTAGCTCCTCAGCCTTATTTCTGACCTTCAGGCAGCTTCCCGTGAGGAGAGTCAGGGATGGAACCAGGTGTTGCCAAAACCTCACGGATGGCCCAGCAAAGGCACTGTGGCTGCCAGCATCCCCTACCCTAAATTATAACTACAGTCAAGTGCTTTGTTGCATCTCCTAGCTGGCTTCAAAAATAGCGTTAAAAGCTTCTAGCTGAAACCAAAATTCAACCAGGAGTAGAAGCTACGCAGCAAAAGAGCAGGCACTCAGGCATCTGAAAACGTGATGGTTCTTGAAGTCTGGAAATGCGCCACTCACTTGTGAGACCCGATCCCAGAAGGAAGAGCTCTGATGCTGTTGTAGCGGAAGTCCAGCCACGCGAGGTTTGGCAGCGACTGGAAGAAGTCTGCGGGAATCTCGCAGAGGGCGTTTCTTTGAAGATGCAGTTGCTTCCAGGGAAGAGAAGAGAACGTTCTGTCAACTAAGCACGTTTTGAGCCGTGACTTAGCCAAGGCAGCTCCAGAACAAACGCTAGCTTTTGCAACCACACACACCAAACTGAAAGAAAAGTCACACTGACTGATCCTTCCGTAGTTTAAACAGCAGACAAGGGGGAAAGAAAAGCACCAGGACCCTCGCGCGCCTCGCGGGCTGGACAGGGACTCCACCACCACACAGGGCTTTTGCTACAAACACCCCTCAGACCAAACGTACTTCCCGAGTTTTAAACCCCTTTTCTCCTTCGTGGGCCCCCACGCTCAGCGCTTCTCAGGCTCCACGGTCACTGCCCCCGCCCTCGCGCCCTAGCACTCAGCGCCCCGCGGGCCTCTGCTCTGTGGACAGGCAGCAGGAGCGGAGTCTGGTCAGGGACCCATCCCAAGCAGAAAATCAAAGGAAACTAAAAGACAGGTGCGCCACGCTGCTCTCCGCGGCGCGGTCTCTGACGGGCAGGTGCCCAAACACGACCCCAGCCCCCACCACCTCAGCAAGGGCTCCAAGTGCCAGCCCGGCGCCATCAAGTCTCCATCAGGCGTCAGAAGGAGCAGGAAGGGAAGGCTGAAGACGGCATGTGCCGCGGGGACTCTGGTTGGGTCACGTGGGCACATATAATCCCACAGTCGGGCACAGCACGATCGTGGGTGGAGAAGAACCCCCCCGATGGGGCCGTTACAGGTCGTAGGTCACACCTCCCTACCCAGGTAGCAGAGCGCAAAGTCACGAGAATGGCCTGGAAGCCACGCTTCCTGGGTTCAAATCTAGATTGCAAAACCTTATTGGCTGAGTGACTTTGAGCAAGTTCCCAAACCTCTCTGGGCTCCAGCATCCTCCCCTATGAAGCGGCTCAGGGGACCCACCTGCCAGACTACGCTAAGCGAGCGATGCGGGGTGCATGGGAGTGCTAGGGAAGCACCAGCCACCCCCTCGGGCCACGCTGTCCCCACTCCCAACTCTGCCTCCGAGGCCGTCCTCCGAGCCCCTTCACGGGTCACGACAGGAGCTTTACAAGCGCACAGAAAGCAAACTATCCCGCCAGGCAAGCCGTGGGCAGTTACCCTGCTGGCCGCGGGTGGTCTCGGGGACACGAGCTGGCGGTCACTGTGGCAGGGGTGTGCACACCTCGACGCGAGGCTGCAGCGTGGGCTCCAAGCCCCCCAGGCCCGCTGTCTCAGGGCAAGCTGCTTCTAAGTGCCCGACTCCAAAACCACAGTGGCTTGAGGGAACAGCCAGGTGACTGCACCCTGGCAGGAGCCCACCCTCCCTCCCGGGCCGGCGAGACCCGGGGAAACTGGGCCCTCCCGCGCTCCAGGACCGCATGTGGCCGTGAAAGTGGTGGACGTGCTCGCGGCGACTCCAGTGATGGCTATTTCGCCAGCACGTGTACCCATAACCCCTCGAAGGCCACGGAGCCGAGCGGCCGCCTCCTTCAGTGATTGGTTGCCATGGCGATAACATCTCTATTCACGTCTCTGTTTTCCGAAGGGCACAAGCAGTTATGATGCTTCTTTAGTAAGCTTGAAAAGCAGGCTCCTTCTTCCTTTATGCACAGAGGTAACACAGTCTCGTGGCACCATCAGGGTCCGGACTGCCAGCTGGGAGCGTGTGCCCGCGCAGAGGGCACACAGCGGCCCAGACGACCCAGGAATTCACTCCAAGAGGTGGGTGCTCGGGGAGGGACGGCAAGGCCGGTGGCGGCCTGGGCAGCAAAACCAGGGCGTGTCACGTGCAGCAGAGGATTTAGTCCTCGAGCAGCCACTTACGATTAGGGCCTGCAGCTTTGTAAAAGCACTCCCAAAGGTCAGTCCACACCGCAACGGTGCAGCGTGTCTGGCGTGTACCATGCTGTGGACACTGCGGTCCAGGTCTTGCAATAACCCACAGCAATATGCTCACTCTCGCGTTCCAGATGGAGACGAATGAGATTTAAGGAAATTACAGGAGTACCAGGCAGCAGGAGCCCCGCTCACGTCAAAACTGTGCTCTGACCGAAGCTTGTTCTAGAAATCACGGGGGGGGGGGGGGGGGGTGAGACAGCGCTCCCTGGATTACCAGCTGGCACGGGCCTGGCGAAGACACTGGGCACAGGGCAAAGTCCACGGGTAATGTCAGCAGAGAGGGCTGAGAAACAGTGGTCAACTGACTCGATGTTGTGTGGGGGTCTGTGGGCGCGGTGTTTTACGTGAGGCCAAGGGTGTTATGGGCAGTGGTTTCTACCACCAGCTCTTTGGTGCTTAAGAGCCTCTGGGGAGACAGGATGGGTATCACGGCCCAACTCCACGAGGTATTTGCATTGGCTCGTCCCCGTACCTCAGTTTCTCACTCTGTGCTGAGCCGCACATGAGCCCCTGAGTCAACCCTCTTCTGTCTCATTCTGGAATCTCTCTCCTCAGGTGAGGCCTCCAAGTAAAAGCCATTCATGTCTACCAGGCAGAGGCACAAATGAGAAATGCCCCACTTACTTTAATGTTGGGGATTTTAAAGATCTCTTCTAAATGGTGAAGGCCACGTTGACTCAAGTCTAAGACCGATGAAAGGACGACCCCCTTGACCTCCTGGTGAACCTCTCCGGAGGGGGAGGCGGGCACGCTGCTAACTTGGCCGGCACCGCGCTCTGGATCAGCCGCCCCAGGGGGCAGCTCGGAGGGGCCGCTTCCGTCCATCTGCCAGCCGTCGGGGGGCCACTGCTCATCCTGCGCGCTCTGGAGTCACCTGGAGACACAGAGGGAGACACGGCCACAGCTAGGTCACTGCCACACTCACCCAGGTGGCACGGGGTGGTTATGGGGCAGATCTGCGACAGTGTCACTTGCTTACAAAACCACCATTTTTCATAAACGGTATCATAAATTTGACACTCAAGTTCGAAGGAAGGAAGAAAGCAGGAAGTCCAGAAGGTTCTGATTAAACGTATGAGCCTCACTTCGCAGCACAGAGTTCCAAGATTCCGCTTTAAGCTCCTGGAAAACACAATGACCCAAAACAAGAATGGCTATATTAGGGATGAAAACGTCAGAAGGTTTCGGCCTGGAAGCCAATACGTTCCTCCCGTAAACGTGGTGTGGACGGATCCCCCGTCCACACTGCGTACTCCTGCTGAGGTTCTGAGCTCTCCCCCGCCCCCCATCCCCCCCACCGGGTACCAACCTCCCCGAGCCCAGGAATCCTGCCCGTTCGGCTCAGGGAGCAGCGCTGGGTCTGGGGAACACAAAGTTAGGTGCTGGGAAAATCTGTCAAAAAAGAATCTTCACTTTGAGTTGTTCAACAATATTCCCAAAGTAGTTTAAGAACTGCTGCTCACCAGCACCTCTTCTGGGGAAGCACACTTCCACGTGTAATTTCTAACTTTTTAAAAAATGTTTATTTATTTTTGAGACAGAGCGTGAGCAGGGGAAGGGCAGAGAGAGAGGGAGACACAGACTCCGAAGAGGGCTCCAGGCTCTGAGCTGTCAGCACAGAGCCCGACAAGGGGTTCAAACCCACGAACCGGGAGATCATGACGCGAGCACAAGCCAGACGCTAAACCGACTGAGCCACCCAGGTGCCCCTCCCTGTGTAATTTCTAAACAACGGATCCAGCGGTAATAACACACATTGGAATGCTAATGGGCTCACACGCGATCCCTGGTTAACGCTCCACTTGGCTGGTACACGAGCGCACACACATACTTCCTTCCCGTGCTTGTGCTGAGGAGTGTGAGGCTTGGGGTAGTTAAGGAGCTGCCCAAAGGCTGAGCAATGAATGAGAGAGGGCGACCCACGGACACCCCGGGCCTTCCCTCATGGATCCTCTCCTGGGAATCAGCACCGTGAAGGCCGCTTCAACCTCCTACAATCCTCCTGAGGGGAAAAAAAGTCTCAGAACGACAGCGAAACAACAGGACCCGAAAATGGGTAGAGCGGACTCCTGGGGGGGGCGGAGGCTGCGCCACGTCCCCACCATGCCTGCCTCAGTTTCCTCATCTGCACCGGACCTGGTTGGGCGACCCGTTAGTCCTCAAGTTCCAGGCCTGGGGTGCACAGCCTTTCCCGGGGCAGCCGGACAGGGCACGGTGGGCCAAGGGGGCACCGCCTTCCTTCTGCTGCCTGCGCCCATCTCACCCGTGGCGCCCTCCCACCCCAGCCTCACCTATGGCGCCCTCCCACCAGGCACCTCCCACCTCACCTGCAGCGAACCCCCACCCCCACCCCACCCCCCTCACCTGCAGCGCCCTTCCCCTGCACCCTCTCCTCACCTGCGACAGTTCCCCTGTCCCCCCATCTCACCCGCGGCGCCCTCCCACCCCACGCTCACCTGTGGCACCTCCCCTGCCTCCCCCCACCTCACCTGCGGCGCCCTCCCCCGCCTCGCCCCCTGCCTCACCTGCAGCGCCCCCCCACCCCACCCCACCCCGCCCCACCTCACCTGCGGCGCCCTTCTCCGCGAGCAGGAGCTCGCTGGCACGCGGGGAACCGAGAGCGGTGCAGCCCAACGATGCAAGCCGCCAGGCCCACGCGGTCGCCATGGAGACGCCCTACGGGGTCCCGGAGGGGCCAAGCCGCGGAGCACGCGCAGCCGCGGGGAGGGCGGTGCGCCTGCGCCGGCCGCGGAGGCGCGTCCCAGCGCGCGTGGGCTGCGGGCTGCCGCCCGCGGTCTCTTCCGCGCGGCAGGCGGTGGCGCCCACGGGGGACACGTGTGCCTTAGTCCGGAGAGTCGGATGCGCGAGGAGGACCCTTGCGGCCGCGAGAGCGAGCAGAGCCTGGGCGGGGCGCGCTCCACTCCGCCCAGCGGCCTCCAGGGCCCGCGAACCCTCCCGGGGTCCTGACCTCGCTTCTGCCCCGCGCCCGCCTGGCGCCTCCGAGGGTCCCGGGATCGCCGCCGTCACACGGACACCACCACCGGGGGAGCAAGGAGCCCCGCGTGGGCCGGGGCCAAGCAGGACTCCCTCTGCCGCCGGGCGCTCGGGCGGCGGCAGGCGGACGCCCAGGCAGACGCAGGACCCCCGGGGGCGCCGTTGCGGGGATCGAGGGGGCGGACCTTTCGCGCCGCGGAGCTGGCTGGACGGCCTCCGAAGGCTGTTAGTCCACGGCTGTGCTGGAGCAGGCGGCGCCGAGGGGAAGCTGCCGGGGACAGGGGGCGTGGGCACAAGCAGGAAGCCGGGAGGACGGACCGGCCCTGGCGACGTCCTGCAGAAGAAGTTGGCACCGTCCGTCGCAGGACCGCACACCTGCCTCCCACCAGCGAGGTGAGCTAGCAGGTGTGCAGTAGCGGATGGGCCGCAGCCACACCTGGGGCCCCCCCCGGACCGCCCACGTGTGAAAACCGGACCGCTGCGGCTTCACCCTCCGTCCGCCAAACCTCAGCGAGATGCCTCTTGTGATCCAGTTAGCAAACCCCGTGGGAAAGGGGTTGGGAGGGGGGAGGAGGGATGGTAGTTAAGGCTAACTTAGCTGACACGTCACGAAGCCACCACAGTACCTGAAACTAAATTGGGGACACTGTTAGAAGGGCTGCCAAAAGTATCATCTACAAAGGCCCCTGAAGAGCTTTACACGGATTCTAAGATAAGATCCACCTTGCTGTGAAAGATCACTCTCGGTTTCCGCTACAGAAAGGGCAGGCTAGGTCGTTATGACCAACCCTTCCGCAACAAGGGAGTGAAGCATTCCAGAAAGGTGAACTTTTCCCCCAGTGAGCATCTTTCTATTTGGAAGAGGTATTAGAAAGTTCCGCTACTGGGGCATCTGGGTGCTTCAGTTGAGCATCCAACTTCGGCTCAGGTCATGATGGTGAGTTCGAGCCCCACATGGGCTCACTGCTATCAGCAGAGCCTGCTTCAGAGTCTCTGTCCCTCCCTCTGCCCCTCCCCGCTCGCACTCTGTCAAAAATAAAACATTACAAAAATTATAAAAAACAAAACAAAAACCTCAGCTTCTGAGCAAAGCTCCCAAGAGACCAAAGACCCAGGGGATTAAGTTATTAGTCTGACATCCCTGCAGAGACAGAGGGTCTAGTAAACCCTCGGGTTTTGGGGTTTTGGGTTGGGGCTCCGTAATGCCTTACTCTAGGACAAGAGTGACCTGGAGGAATGCCAAACCTCATGGGGCCTGAAGCTCAGCCTCAGACCGCAGCTGTGTGACCGGGGTGCTGTGTTTTTGGCTCCCAGCCAGAAGTGGAGGTCAATCCTTTCCAGAGAAGGAAGAAAATACCATCTTAGGTCTCCAGTTATCTTTCATGGTTTTAGCATGTGTAACATACGGGGCACCTGGGTGGCTCGGTCGGCTCAGGTCATGATTTCACGGTTTGTGGGTTTGAGCCCTGTGTGGGGCTCTGCACTGACAGTGAGGAGCCTGCTTGGGATTCTCTCTCTCCCTCTCTCTCTCTCTCTCTCTGCCCGTCTCCCCCAGATGAATAAATAAACATTAAAACGTAGAAATAAAGTGTGTAATGTTAGTCACACACCAGGCAACATGAACATGTGATCAAATCCAAGAAAAACAGGAGAAAAAAGAAACTGACCTGTGGGTGGTCCAGATAATGAAATTTGCAAGAATACAGTTTGGTAAGGCTTAATATGTTCAAAGAAATAATGATATTGGAAATTACAGCCAGGAATCAAATTGGAATTCTGGATCTGAAAAAATACAATAATAGTTTAGAGCTGAAGAGGGTGTTGGTGAAGCAAAAGTAGGTTAGAAGACCACATCCATCAACAGGCAGGGAGGGTAGGGTCGGCACAGGGGATTCTATGAGCAAGTCTAACACACGGAGACTCTGGCCAACTCAGCACCTCCGTCCTGCCCTCGGAGTGCCTCCTCTCCTGCCCTGGATACTTTTCTGCGTGGTTACAGGGGCTCTTGCAGGAGGCTTGGAAACGGAGGAAGACAGGCTATTAGTTTCTGGAGGCACACGCAACGCTAAGAGCAGGTGAGAGGTTCAGAGCAGATTCCCAGGTGACCCACCGTGGCAGGACGGGCATAGTGTGGCGGTTACAGACGTGCCTGTTGGAAAGTGTATGAAAAGTCTTTCTTCTGATCTCACTCTTGAATGAGGGTTAACTGGTATAGAACTCCTCGTTGGCAGTTATTTCGAGTCAGAATTTTAAAGACACGACTCTTGCTGCTGACGAGAAGCTTGCTGTCCGTTGAATTGCCATTTCTGTGAGGGAAATCTGTCTTTCCTTACTGTGTCCTTAATGTCCTGACATTTCACTACGATAATTGTCAAGTGTGGGTTGTTTCAGTGACGCTGCTTGGCACTTGGTGTGTTCTTCCTGTCTGAGAACAGAAAGGATCTTCGATCCTGGACATCCCAGGCATTTTGTCTTCACGTAAACGTGGCCTGTGGTCTGCACCCCGACCTCGATTCTCTTATTCTGGGTCTCCTGTGAGGGGATAGATTGAAACCAGTCAGTCGATCTCCATGTCTCAAAACTGCTTTTCTTAATTTTTACCTGTGCTCTCCACGGGGAAATCTGTCTCCACTGGTGCCCACTTAGACTTTGTATCATGTACTTAGATGGTTATTTTTTTATGACTTCATGTTTCATTTCTAATTTTCTTTGTTCTACTGTTCTTATTTTGTTTTTCCAGTTCTTGTTTTATAATCTCTTCCAAGTTTTTGTGGATGTTTTCTCTTTATCCAATGTGAGAATCCTAAACATGGTTATTTTAAAATCTGCTCTATTTTAATTTTTAGGTTGCTGTATTGTTTTCATTTCATCTGGGATGAATTCATCTGCTGGTTGCTGATCTTGTTATCTTTCTTCTTAGAGTAACGTGCTTTGGAATTGAGGCTGGCAGGCTCGTCGCAAACAAGGGGCTTGTGTTCTGTGTTTTCTGTCTGCTCACCTGTCTATGTTTCTCCGTCCTGCAGGTGCCTCCACACAGCCTTTTGGGGCTCTGCAGCGCTGATGTGTGTTACACTGGGTGCTCGGGGCTCTCGTGCAGCCACCCCCTGAGAAGTGCAGAAGTGTCCGAGTCCATCCTCTGGGGGATCCTCAGGTAACTGTTGCAGAGGTGATTTTCTTTCTCAACTTCCTGTCGTAGAGGTGGGAGACTTGCCCTGGGTCCCATTTTAGGTGATGCTCTTGGCTGTGTTGTTCCCCCACTCCCTTTGGGCAGTTTTAGACTCTTCGACCCTCAGGGACCGCATTTCCCAGCCACTTACCTGTTTCTGGACCCAGAGCCCCGCAGGTCCAAGGTCTCTATCCTGCACCCTGTTCTGTGTCTTCCTTCCGCCTTTGGTCTGTGGAAGGGTTAGGGTTTTTAATGCTTTCTTTTTAAACATCTCTGTCGTGGCCGTGGATGGAGGGAATGGTGGAAGGGTCTGTGCGCGTGAACCGAGGGTGCCTGCTTCCCCAGAGGAAGTAAGTGTTTTATGCACAATGGACAATAAGAGCATTTTGTTCTGTTTTAGTTTTTCCTGTTTAATTTCTTGGTATGAAGAGGCTGTAAGTTATGTTTGGTAGATTCCTGGTAACTAACATCCTTCTGTATCAAAAGAAAAGCAAAATAAAAAATATGTATTTTTTAAATGTTTATTCATTTTTGAGAGAGAGACAGAGTGCAAGTGGAGGCAGGGCAGAGAGAGAGGGAGGCACAGAATCCGAAGCAGGTTCCAGGCTCTGAGCTGTCAGCACAGAGCCCAATGCAGGGCCTGAACCCACGAACTGCGAGATCATGACCTGAGCCGAGGCCGGACGCTTAACCGACTGAGCCACCCAGGCACCCCCAAGACAAAATATTTTTAAAACTTGAAATCTACTTTCTAGAAAGTTTTTAAAAAAAGAGAATAAGCATTTCTAGGTAAGCTTCACAGACTTCAGAACGGCTGGGAGTTATTTTCTGGAAAACGTTCCAGATGCTTCTGAGCAGCTGGCGCCATCTCTGCTCTGCTGGCCGCGCTGAGTTCTAAATGTGGTGGTTGAAACATATCCTTCCTCAGAAGGCAGTGAGGCCGCAGAGGGAAGACGACCTTGGTTTTCACGGGTGCCACCCGCCACTGAGAGTGCATGAGGCGTGGGCAGCGGGACCGCCTCAGGAAGGCAGGAGGACCACGCGGGATGCTGGTTCTCTGGCGTCTCGGGAGGAGCGTGGGATGACTCCTCAGTGAATGCTCCAGGTGGGCCTGGGGGTGAGCTCGCCTTTGAGATTTGGGGACAAACAGTTGAGCCCCATAGACGGCCCCCACCGGCTCCATGGCCCATGGGCACCAGTCACCCTCCCCCAGGCTCCTGTGAGCTCCGGCTCTTGGTGGGGGGGGGTCAGGGTGCAGTGGGGAGGGGGGGGGCTGGCTCTGCATGGCCCTCTGCCTCTGCCCTCCCTCTCCTACCTGGCATCGACCCACTCTTAAAACCCAGGCGTCCGCAAGGTCCTCACGCAAAGCCCTCGTGAGAACAGACTTTCCGCATGGCTGGGGACAAGGGTTCATATCCCGGCAGAGCGGCAGCCCCCTGTGGGGCAGTCCAGACACGGTCCCTGCCCCACCCCCCACAATCTTCCTGAGTCCCGGCGCTCCCCTCTTCCTTTTCCACTCTGGGGATGAAG